GATGAAAAAAGAATAATCGATAATTTTAACGATTCTCTTTTGACGTGTGCAACTAAGCATGTCTACGTCCAAACAGAGAAGCTTTATAGCGAAAGGAAATAGCGATAAAGAAATAGCGCGAAGAGAGAAAAATTGCGCTTGTTTTTTATGACAGTGTTTATCTCTTTCACCTATGCGGATCCTGAGCCAGGGCCGGTAAGTCGAACTATTTTCTCCATGTACTCGATCCTATTCGTCCCGAAAAACAATACGAGTATCTTAAAAAAACATTAACCTTAAAACGATAACGTTCTCTCTTACGATTTATAATATATATATATATATATTATTATTGACGAAACGTGATTTTGCGTTTTTTTTCTCAAAATCCGGAAGAACGATTGTAATAAACGCGTTAATCGCACGATTAACTGCCTTTATAAAACTTATTAAGAGCAACGATTAACTGATACGATAATACCGACGAGTATGATTCACGATCTATCGATAATACCGTCGATAATTGCCCAATCGTTTTTTTCTTTCCATGGCAAAATTCAATTCATTGAAAATTTATATACCGGTTTACGCTTTTTCTTTTTTTTTTTTTCTTCTCGATCGGTTATTTCCTCTTCTACGAATCACACATAGATACGATATACGGTATATCTAATCGTTATTTTCATACATACGCTAAATTATGGTACAAGGTACAAGTGTTTACGATACTTCTCACGCTCGTACGGCTAAAGGGAATTAAAATTTCGATATTTTTCGAAATTTCGGATAAGAGGAGCACAGTAAAAGACAAAACAGGAAAGATATACGTATATATTTATATTTACGCGGGAGTATGTATGGGATACATCGTAAATGCAATGCATGAATGCAGAAGAATGCGTGATTTTGTTCGATAAGTAGATGCAAACATCTCTCTCGTACTTTATATTACATAGCGTTTTTTATTTCGTTACTTATTTTTCACTCGATGCGAATCATCCGTTGTTAAGGTATTAAATTACGCGAAACAAATATTTCACGATAAAGTTCAGAATCGGTGAGATTTATTAAAAGATGCGAAATGATTATTTCCTCTCTTTTTATCTTATCTCGTCTAGCATTCTTCTCTCAACGACGAGAATCCGTAAATAAATTTCAGCGATAAATTCTCGAATAATTAAGAAAAATCGATCGATCGAATGATTAAATCGTTGACATAAATCACGGACAAATCATTTATGGAAAAAAAAAAAAAAAAAAAAGTACGAAGAACAGGGAAAATACAACATACAAATGCATATCTTGCTTGGTATCACGCGTTAGTTTGAAAACGAGAGACAACACGGTCCCCGTCTCCCTCAAAATAACTGCAGCGCACGCGTTCGTACAGACGAGAAATAAGAAGGAGGCCAAAGCTAGCGCGACTTTGCATTCACGATTCTGCAGAGGAAGAGGTAGTTCACTCTTGGCCAAGTTCACGGCTAACCAGTCGTATCAACTCGTGGTCGTACACGTATACGTATACACGCACACTTATTTCTCTTCCAGGCAAGAAACGCGTTCCGCAAAATCACGCACCCCCATCTCCCTAATAAAATTCCGAAACTTTGAACGATGCCCTTTCCTAACCTATTTCTATAAAGATACATCCCTCATAAATTATATCCCAATACGTTCACCCTTTTCCTTGAAACCTATTTTCGTCGAATGGTAAAAAGATATACTCTCGAAAAAGTTTCGAGAATGTGGAATAAATTTTTCGACCGATGTAAGAAAGATATATAGAGTTTCCTCATAGGATTCGCGCAACTAGGCAAACTAGTTCTCTTCGTCCCGTCTCGGCCTCGCGTTGCATTGCGCAGCACAGGCTGCGCAACTTCAGTTCTCGCTCTCTACCGTCTATACCATCCTGGAATGCGGTTGTTCCACTCTACAATACACGCTATGCACGCCAACTCCGTGTTACGCACATGCGCACACGGTCGAATCGCGCGTTCAACAATGACTTACTATGATCGCCGTGTGAGAAATGAAACGGTCGTTCGTACGTTCGATAAAGAAAAAAAAAAAAAAAAAAAACTTTTAAACAATAGACTCGGACGGAGATATCGATTTAGGAGTGGAGAGGGGTTTAGCATCGAAATATAGGCCGACGTCACGGGAGAAGGCTGCTTCGTACCGGCCGTTTGTTGAACTCGTCTTCGATGTCTCGAAGATCCGGGGGATCTGCGAACCCGTTGTCCTCGTATCGCGCGCATCCTGGCGATCTGGGAGGATGCATCGCGTGTATGCTGGATCGATGCGTTCGACGACAATTATTCTTTAGAAATATTGGGGATTATTCTAACAAATTCGGAACTGAAAATCGTACCTGGTACATCTGGACGGGCTGGTCTCCAACGGTTCCTCGTATCTACGCGAAATCATGGTGAAGTCGCGATGGGCCGCTACCATTTTCTGCAATCGCGAGATTATCTCATAATCGGGCGTGCAGATCGGTTCCGACAATAATTTCGTCACGGATACTCGGAAGCTTTGCAACTGGAAAAGAAAGGAAAGATTAAGCGAGATGGGTCGCAAGATGGCGACCGAAATCGATCGAAAGCATACTTGGGATTCCCTTTTCGTAACTTCGGAAAGATTTTGCTTAACCTGCGCCAACTCGTCCCTCAGCAATTGCAACGAGTGATCGCTGATGGATCTCTCTTGTTCGGCGGTCTCGGTTGCGCTTCTCATTTGTTCCTTCAACATGCTCAATTTTCTCGAGTATCGTGTCCTCAGCATCTCGCTCTCCACCAATCGTTTCTGAAGCTCGTCGATCTTTCGACTCCGCTCCAAGGCGGCTATCTATTTTCACAGAAATAAAAGAAATAAAGAAACAAATAAAGAAGGGAAAAAAACGCTTATCGTAACCTCTTACCTTGTAATCCGCGGCCTCCGTCAATTGCGCGCTTAATTCTCGATTTCTCGATCTTTCCTCCAAAATTTGCGCCTGCAAACGATCCGTTTGCTTCGACAACTTCTTCGCCCTGAAAACGAACCGATATATATATAAATATAAATATATATATATATATATATATATACACACGGATATCGAAATAGAATGAACGTACCTGAGGCAAGCTTCGTCCCTTTCATTTTGGAGCAACGATTTCATCTTGACGCTCTCTTCTTGAAGCGATAATTTTCTACGAAGAAGATCCAAGTGAAGATCTCTGCGCTGCAATTGTTCTCGTAGCGTCCTCACGCGGCGCTGCAGTTGATAGACCACCGACGTCTGATAAGAAGAAGAGAGAAAACGAATAGAGAGGAACAGGGATGGAGGGATGGTACACCAATAAATGCCAATGTAATAACGAACTGGTTGGCGCATATATTATATATATTATATATATATATTAGATGTGCGAATAAGTTCTTTCCCCTTTTTGTTTTCCAAAAATTCAAGATTTTTCTCTACAACTTTTTTCAACTTGGTGGATAAATTATAAATTCCATCAATGACGACTGCTCGCTGATTATCAAATCATCGATACATTTTCGATTGCTTCCTCGACAATTAATGTTGCTTCGAAAATGATAATAACTTTTAGGATTCTAAACTATCTCTTCTATCTAACTTTTAGGACTCTAACTCTAGCTGTTCGTATTATAAATTCGTTCATCGATTTTGATAATTTCGTATGAAAAAAAAGAAAGAAAACTTGGGACATCTTAATATATATTATAATTAATATTATATATAATGTAATATTAGGGTGTCCCATAATTTTCTTTCTTTTTTTTTTTGATATGAGATGAATGATATTCGTTGTTTGCTGATATTGCAATATTTTCCAAAATTGACGGTTCCCACGTTGAGAAAGGAGCTCATAGTAGACTAAACTTTTCCAATCCCACCAAATGGATAAAAGAACTTTCCTCGAAGATGATTGAAGATCTATTTAATCCTTAAATCAAGTGCACATTTTTCGATCCATATTTCGATTTGAAGTAGAGACTTCGCCTCTGGGATGACTGAAACCGATTGCCATAAACGATTAACAGATAAAAATAACCAGTTATAGTCATTCCTAGCGCGAAAGAAACTTATGGCACATCTTAATATACATAATATATATATATATATATA